AGGGTTGGACTACTTACTACCGAGGAAGTGTGTAGTTAACTTTGTGAAAATGACGATTGGGAACAATAAAGGCCAAATTCCACTAAGTGTTGCTGCATCTGTTGATTTGCATGTCACAGCACTCAAGTCAACTACAATACCCCTATGTCAGAGAAGATAATTTGGGGTAGAATAAAATAACATCCCCAAGGAAGACCGATGCTTGTTGAAGCACTGGAAGACCCATCCAGACCAGTGGACATGAAGATTGGAAGGTCACTTGTGGCAGGTCATCAAGTAGTACCCATAACAGTGACTAATTTCTCTAAATGTGAGCAGACACTTAAGGAAGGAGCATTGTTGAGTGTGTGCCAGGAGGTAGAGCCAGTCTATGTTAAGACAAGAAATACAACCATAAAGAAAAGATGTCCTCTCCCAGAACATTTAACTGACCTCAATAAGAAAAGCATAGTCCATTTGTTATCATCACAGGCCGAAGAGCCTGCAAAAATGACTGCAGACACTGCTGCAAAAGAAAGGTTGAACTAACCAGGTGCCATCTAGCTGAAGTCAAAGTGACTGAAGGAGGTGATGATGGTGAAGTGGAACCAAATATAAATATTAAAGCAGAACAGAAGAAAGACCAAGATTTGAAGCCAATAATTGATTTTCTAAAAGCAAGTGTTTTGCACCCTGCTTGGGAGAAGGTGTCTAGCTTAAGCCCTGTGACAAAGAACTATTGGGCACAATGGGACCAGTTGAAGCTTGAAGATGGTATTGTTACGTCTCTGTTCGTTTGTTAATTTTTGGTATAAATTATTTCCAAGGAACTTCTGCGATACAAGTCCTTTCTTAATTAAAACTAGTTTATTCTTTCTCGATACAACTTTGCAATACACAGAATTTCCACAGTAACTTTAACTTAACTACTTTTATAAAAACACGCTATAATTCCCAGTGATTCACACACTTTACTTACGGTGCCCACTGTTCGCTTAACTCAATTATTTCAATCTATCTGCCTATGCAATTCTATCTTTTTTTGCTGGCTTTATTTGCTGGGCTTATATACAAAAAAGAGGGCGTCTGGAACAAACTAGGAAATTCACGATCATTCGAGAAACTCCTCGCATACGCCACCAGCCCCAATGCGCCAGCAGCGTCACGTGACTTCCACTGTCGTAACAGTATTCTTCTGCAGAGATGGGAAACTACAGATGGGAAAGTGACGACCTGGCAAACAGTTATACCGAGAAAGTTACGGGAAATTGTGCTTCCTCAATCCCATGATAGTTTAACAGGAGAACATCTTGGGGTTAAGAAGACATTGAGTCACCTACGACAGAGATTTTATTGCATATGTTTTAGGCAAGATGTGGAAGAATGGTGCAGGACATGCAGTACATTTTGTGCTAAAAGGGGACCCAAGAATAAGGGAGGTGTCCAATGAAGTTTATCAAGTTGGCACACCATTGGAAAGAGTAGCCATTGACATTGCTGGTCC